ATTAATTTTTAATGTTTAAACGATAAAAAAATCATATTATATTATTAAATGTCATATATTATATTATATTTTATACACACATTACATATTTCATCTTTACTTCTCATACTCTCTCAAAGCTCAGTCCAACCTGTTACAAGCCACTGCTGCCAAACCAAAACAATCTACTCCACTTACCCATCTGCCACTTGCTCTGGGTACACATAAAAAAATCACTTAAAGTATTTCGCCAATAAATTTAAATCACAGTCTGTCGACTAGGGAGCGGAAAACGCTATGAAAACAATAGACAACAAAGTCTCTGACTGAGTTTCACCCCTCGCAAGACAGCGAGCACGAAAATAAAAAACAAAAAACACCAAAAAAATGTTTAAACAAACGAAGCGATGAAGCTGAAAGTGCCAAAAAGGCCAGCACAAGTGGAGGAAGTACGAACAAAGAATACCCTTTATAGAGAGATATAAGGGAGACGAGTTTATGGAAAAAACAAAAATTATTGTTGAATTGAAGTTTATTAGAAATAAATGAAGTGAAATTACATACAAAATATTTAAAGTTCGCTGAGCCAGCGACTAGACCTACAGGGTATAAGGGGTGAGACGGTTGTGGAGTCTGTCTAGATCTTAACTAGTTTAGGTTAGATTTTAGACCATAGTATTTTCTGGTATTCAAGAAACTCTTTAGAGTTTTTTTTTAAATATATTAATGCGAATTAACTTGAGAGCTGCTACATCATCAAGATACCGATAACCGATAGTTATATCTATAGATCTGATAGCTTAACGAACTATCTAGATCCTTTCTAGATTTACATAATCTATATTTTATTGAGTTTGGCAACTCTAAAAGAACCTACCTAGATCTTCCATATATACACGCCCTATATACCAAATCTATCTCTAGAATCTCTGAGAATATTAAGCATATCATATTGTCTGTCAGCATCACAATACCCTGCCATATCAACAGAATAAACATCAAGTGAAGGACAAGTAACGGCGCATCAGAAGCCAAATAAAGCGCTAAAAGGATTTAGTCGCGCGTGTAAAATTTTGTTGAAGCAGCGCGAGAGCTTCGGGGGGGATCGCTGAAATAGCTGAGGTAGTTGAGGAGCTTGCCAAAAAGTTGGGCAATGAAGGCGTGGCAGCAAATGGCATTTTTAAGCGCCATGCAGCCGAGTGATGCATGTGGCATGTGGCAAACACCAAGCAGCTGCAACACACTCACACACACGCACACGCACACACACACTCACCCTCACGCAGCCCTCGTGATTTAAATACTCGTAATTTTGCGTGTCGCGCATAATCGTGGGGCATGATTTACAATTTTGTGGCGCCACGGATGTGGGGCGCGCCGTTTGTCAAATGTTTCTCTTTATGCGAATTTGCCAAATATGTTTTTTCAAGCAATTTACAATTTTCCCGCTTCTGCTTCTTTTTTATAACTTTTCTAATTGCCCAACAAATGGCAAATGGCAGAGCTTCGAAAACGGGAATTTCGTTTTTTTTCCGTTTTGGGAAAGATTTTCCCTTGCATAATTTGCGCATATAAACCATAATCTTTGTTAAGGGCAAAGTCTTTGCGACTATAAATTGCGCATATCTCGKCCGCACTTCTAAATAGCAAACAACAACAACGTTGTCGAGCTGAAGATAGCTTATAAATCATCTAATCAGAACAACAACAGCAACACGAGAGCGGAGCATGAAAAACTGAAATTGCTTTTGGCTGCTGCTAGAGAGGAGAACTCTGGCCCATGCTCGCTCTGGCTGAGCTCTGAGTGGGTGGTGAATGTGCTTTCAGAGTGTGTAATTTATTGTGCGTTACATAACTTTATGATAACTGAACTGTAAAGCATTTGTCGGGCGGGGGTAGCACGAACAAGTTTATTGATCTCAATAGAAAAAAAAAACTACAGCGAATCGAATTGAAAACTTGGCTTTGAATGAGGGAAAGAAAAACTATTAATCAAGGGTGAACGATAGAGATAGTATAAATGATATATATGTATATGTAACATTATTTTAAAGTGTTATAAAGAGCTAAAGCTTGCAAGTAAGCCTACAACTTTAATATAATACAAATTTATAGGCGCCAATTGAAATATTAAACAAGAAATTAGCTGGGCTTGATTTGAATGTTTCTAATAAATTTCAGCTTAATATAGAAATGAAGAGATTGAAAGGTTGCATAAGAGGATATACTACATAGTCCCTATATTTTTTAAAGAACATTCGAATGGCTAATAAAACTCGTGCAATTAATATGAACAGCATTTTTTGGGCAACACAGAGACAATGAGACACAATTGAGAGTTGATTTCTGAAATTTCAAGAGAAAACTTTGGCTTAGTCAAACTCAGAGCTCCGCATAACAATGTTATCATATCTCATAAACAAATAAAAAACGGACATATTTAACACTCTTCAACATTTAAAAACTTCTAATACCAACTGAAGTTTCGCAAGTTTAAAGTATCTCGAAAAACAAGTCAAAAGCTTTGAAGCGACGTGCAGCACGACTGATATTTGCATGCAGCAAAAGTTCCTTGTTTTATTTTTTGGTTTTTTAGCCACAGCCTTTCACACTTTTCATATCAGGCCAAAGTTGCTGTGTCAGGAAAGAAGCAGCAGCACACGTAATCCTTGCAGTGCACCTCGCCAAATGCAATAAGCAAACATGGCAGCTAGCGCCACCTAGCGTCGCGTAGCAGCAGACCAAAGCCAAAAGTGATATAGCGATGGTGCATTAAACTTGGCTAAGGTGTCAGCCAGTCCAGAACCTGGGCAATATGTGCAGAGCCAGCTCCAGCAAGAGGGGAGGGAAGTTGAGAGAGAGAGAGAGAGAGAGAGGGAGAGAGAGAGAGGGAGAGAGAGAGAGAGAGAGAGAGGGAGAGAGAGAGAGAGAAAGAATGGGCTACAGATAGCTACTATATGAGGCATGCAACACAGTTTCCATTTAACTATGAATAATTCCCATTGTTGTTGCAGATGTTGTTGCTGCTGCTGTTCCTGCTGTTGCTGCTGTGCATTTGCTTGTTAATATTTTCATTTCCGTTGCTTTATGAGCCGATTCCGTAATGCCTAGACGTAGACAGAGACAAAGAAAAAGTGGAAAGAGAGAGAGCGCTAGAGTAGGATGGCCTGCGAGTTGAGTGCCCCGCTTTACAAGGACAATAACAAGAGCAACAGCTTCAAGTACAAGCGCCAGCAGCAGCAAGTCCTTGTGCTACGGCTCATCATCAGTCGCCTTATCGGCAATGTCAACCAGCTTGAAGTCGCAAGGACTCATGAACCCCAAAGGGGGTGCCGGCTCCGGCAGGACTTGAGATTGTGCCTTCATTTTGCCATTGTTTGCATAAAATTGCAATTTACAATTATGACAATAAAATGAAGGAGCAACAGAAAGCCGAGAGACTGAAGGCAAGACAGCGAGAGAGAGAGGGTGATAAAGGGAGAGAGAGGTAAACGGAGGCATCTTAATGTGCATCACATTGGAATTCAAGCGCATTAACAGCCAAGTTATGATATGATAAACAATTTAAGCACGACTTTAAATGACGAAAATTACAGATAAAATATATGAAACGAAAATACAGCAGCAAAAAAAATGTGAAAACGTTGCTAAATGACACAAACATTTGATAAATTACGCTAAAGAAGAAGCAGAAGCAGAAGCAGAAGCAAAAGAAGAAGCAGAAGCAGTAGCAGAAGCAGAAGAAATGTATGCAACGTGGCGAATAAATTGAGCGCGTGAAATGCTTGAGTGGAATGGTTTATCTATGCCACTGGGGAAATGTTCTTGGCCATAATTAGACACGCGGCCCGATATTAGTTAGAGCCAAGGCATAAATTACGGCAGTCAGTCAGTGGGGAGCGTCAAAGCGCTTACAAATGCTTCTCGTATCATTAAATTAGTTTTGTGTGTGTGTGTGTGTGTGTGTGTGGGTGAGGGTGGGGGAGGGGAGGGAGCTATGCCAAGTCTACTTAAATGAGAGATTATTGCGAAAGTGAGGCAATAAATTGTGCAAATCTTTATGAATGAGCTCGCTTAAGGTTGTCTAAAGCGAAACTGTGAAAAAATTATATGAACAAATGATTTTCGCCAGCCGAGCGCTGAAATGTAGGCAATGTTTTTTTTTGATAGGGAATGATGTGAAGTGAAGAGAGAGTTGGTCTGAGAGTTGAAGCTACGTTTGGTGTGAGTTTATAACTATTTGTACTTTTAGATTGCAACACTAAATATATTAATCTATCTATGTAGAGATATATTATATACATTATTAAGTTATATTGAAATGAACTTGAAAAACTTGCACAAGCTGAGACTTTAAAATTTCAATAAAAGGAAATATAAGGTAAAGCTATGTATATTAAAATATATGAAGCGGTTATTATATACCTATTACAATCCATCTATCTATGTATATTATGATGAATGAAGCGCCCCAATCTCTGTACATTCTGAAGCTTTTCGTTTATTTTATGGTATTATGGTATATATATGCCATATAAAATAGCATATAAATGTATTTATATATTTACCAATAATTTCTTGGCTGGCATATATCCTTAAGTAAAAGGTACTTATGAGTATATGTTAAAAAAAATATTTTATTCCAAATAGTTCAATCTAATGGAACAAGTAGTTGTTTGTTTTTATGTTTCATAGAAGTATAATCTCTTACTATTATATTAATTAAAATTATATGTTCTTAACTTAAAGATAATAAATAAATATTCCCTAATGAATAACAATATATAGCATTCAATCTTGAGTTCATGATGAAATTAACTAAAAAGCCTTGAACAACTTCCTCCTAATACTAGTCATGATATACATATGTATATAAAAACATTTCTTACTATATACTCTGTGCATGTGTGCGTGTGTGTACATATACCTTATAGGTTGTGATATACATATGTATATAATATTTTTATATAATGATATATTATGATATATAAAGTGTTAATAATCAACTCTATCTAACTTACCGCCATATCTGCAATTTGTTTTGTCAGCGGGTATATTGCCATTGGGCTCGAGGCGATCCAGATACTCCTCCGAGTTGTAGCCATTGAATGGAACTTTATTACCGTGATTATGATGGGCGCCGCCGCCGCGATGATGATTATGATGATGATGATGATGTGTCGAATCGTCGCCATCCTCGCGGGAAATAGCTGCAAATGGAAACACGGAAAAACATACATAAATATAAATATAAATATAAATATTGTGTAAATTCTCGATTACAGAATTGTATTATGACTTATGCTAATTGGCTTTTATGCAAAATCAATTTATGAAAAGCACTCAAAACTTCCCTTTCCCCCTCCACTGGCAGCCAACCAATCCAATCAAATTATTTTCAGCCCGACTATTCCTATTCACTTTGTGCGAGCTGGGACACATTTTGTCAGCTAGTTTGGGTAATTGAGTGTGGGGCGCTTCTAGTTTTTGGGGCTTTGCTGCCCAATCAACGCCTTTTGCTGTGCGGTTTGGGGCTGCTGCGTTCACAAGTCAATTGATGGGGTTTGTGTGCGGCAGTGGCTTTGACTGCTAATGGCTTCATTTTTGGACACCTCGCCCAGGACAGAGCCGGCCCCAGTCGGGTTGCCAGGCTGCCAAAGTTAATGTCAATTTTAAAATTATTTTCATAAAATGGCAGCCTAAAAAGGCTTAAATTCCCCAAAGGCGGCCATTGAAACGCGCCGGGGGGAAGTCAATTTGGAATGTGTCGAATATGCAAATGAGTTAAGCGGAAAAATAAAAGAGAGAGAGAGAGAGAGAGAGAGAGGGAGAGGGAGAGAGAGCAAATGTAGCTAAGCTTTTATACAAATTTGTACAGAGAACTTTAACGCGGGGCGCGCCTTCTAATTTCCAAAACGGAAATACAAAAGGCACGAATTGCGCCACAGGGCCAAAAAAGGACACAAGAAGCGCTGGCCACGTTACCTGCCAGCCGCTGTAAGGGAGCACCAGCTAACGGAAATTGGCTGGGTATTAGCTTACAGTGCACAAGGAAAAAAAAACACGAGGCTTTTGCCTGAAGTTTTCGCTCCAGCTTTGGCTGTTTTTCCACATTTTTTTTTGGTTGGCATTTTTGAGCCTGCAATTTGCTAACGATATGCATACAAGTGGGCGGCTATCAGAGACGGCACTCAGCGTGGCCTCTTACACGTATGCTATATGCAAATGGCAGGCGCTGAAAAAAGGATTACACGTTTAGTGTGCGCACAGGTAGGCAGGCAGGCAGTCAATAAAGTGTGATTCCAAAGGAGAGAGAGAGAAAGAGAGGGGGAGTTAGATTCAAGGGAGAATGTGTCATGAAATATGAACTAGATGTGGGTGAAGAGTATGTATATATATCTATACATACATACACACATATATGTTTAATTAATAGCCATAAAGACTTCGGGGCCCGGCTAGAAAACAACCCCACAGAGAGGCCACAGATGATGTCAGCATAACATTTCCAGATTGAAGCCAAATACACAAATCACAAAATTACCGCAAATTGTCGCTACATATAAGCAATTTATTTGCTTACATAACTCATGCAGACACACACACCCACACACACACACGCACACGAACAGCAATGCAATTCCCCTAAATGTGGGCTACTACAACTCCCGCTCCACTGATTTGGGGATTTTTGTGGGGGTCTCTGCCTAACACAAAAATCTCATAAACTTGTGCAAGAACACGCAGACACAGAGCGCAGCGTATGCCGGAGTCTGCACAAACTTGGGCAAACAGCAAATGTAATCAATAAAATATGTTCAGCATAAACTAGTCGCATGGCTGGAGTTGAAAAAAGGAACAACAAATCGGAGCAGAAGAAGCAGAAGCGAAATAGCAGACCCAACTCTGGGTTAATGGCATCAAGCATCAGCTCATGCTCGTAACATTCTTATGCAATAGTCAAGCCACAATTGTGCGGCTGCCGCCGTGCTGCAGTGCCTGTCCAACTGTGGCGCGTTGTGGTTTGGGTTTGGGAGTGTGTTTAATGGAATTACGAGCGGGTTTCTGGTGGAAATGTGTGGGTTCCAGTTTGGCAAGCAACACACACAAATCGCTGGGTTATGAATCTGAATGGCAGCCTGAATTGTGAAATGTTATCCAGCTGCAGCGCTTCGGCAGATAAATTGGCGGTAGTTTGCGAGGGTTGCTTGAACGTTGACAATAGAAGAGCAGTGCGAATTGTGGAGACCTGAGATATTTATATTATTAATAGCTACAAATTTCTTGAATGTCAAATGCATTCACTTTACCATAATAGAAATTCAGTTAGACCTATACCTTATGGAATATGTACTTTATATTAATATATTATRCATATTACATATTATTTATTGCCAGAACTCCATGTTCCATTCCATTCCATATTACATGTTTTTCACATCTTACATATATATTCAACATTCTACAACATTCTTTTATGTTCAACATTTCATATTATTTCTTCCATACTCAAAGTTCCATATTTCATATGCCAGATCTCATGTTGAGTATTTTACATTCTAAATTCCATATTCCCATAGTCCATATTCCAGAATTCATATTCCATTTTTCACATATCGTATTTCATGTTCCTTATCTCACATTCTCCCATACTCCATATCTCAGATTCCATATTCATTATTCGCTCTTCGCTATTCGGTATGCCACATTTCATATCCATGTACTCTATTCTACATTACAAATCTCTTAATCTCCCGCTCTCCTCTCTCTTCCAATCCAAGCCTTCATCTCTTTATGCCACACATCAAGTGCAGTGCCTATGGCAGGGCAACATTATAACTTTCCAACTTTATAAGCCTCTGCCCAAATGCTCCACTTGCAACCATATTCAAATCAACTACGCGAAAAACTAAGCCAATTGAATATTTAACTAGATTTCAGGGCCTTAAATTATCGTTGCCTACTTTCAGGCATCGGCAAATTTTCTGGCCCTGGAGGAGCTAAATTTTTAAAGTGCTTGTCGTTCCGTTTGGTGATTTATTTTGCTGACGACTGAATGACAGTTGAGCTGCACAGAGTCGAGTGTAAAGCACTGCACGCGCACACACACAGAGAGAGAGACAGAGAGAGAGAGGACTGTGGTAGCACCCAAAGCCAATTGAACAAAGCTCACAAATTGGGTGCAGACAATGGGCTGGGTGGAAGGGAATACGAACTGCGAACAATGACAAACAACCAGCAGCAGTAAAAGCAAAATTAAATCAAAGCAAAACCGCATCAACGCAATGGCGAAAAAAGAGAAAAAGATGAAGCAGAGAAAACAATCGGAAAAGGGAAACGAAGCGAGCTCTATTACTGGACACTGACCAGCACTATTTCTCCCTGACTCCAACTCCAATCCAGTTCCAATTCCAACTCCCATTCCTGTGAGAGCGCTTCGGTTACACAGCCAGTCGGCATTTTTAATGCGCTTTAGTCGCCGGGCTCAGGCTTTTTATTGTACGGGATTCGCTCGGACTTAACGCTTAGTTAACGAAGAGACTGAGTTTAGAGAAAGTGAGTGTGCTGAGCGGACATAAGCCGGACGGCACTTACACAGATAATGCAAAATGCGCACCATAAAAGTGAGCAATGCATAGATTGTGCGGATATCTATGGGGGTTGACTAGATATTGTGTTTAGTAGGGTCTTTCGCTATTTATCGAAGGCTTACTGATAGGGTTGCTGTGATTAGAGGGTGTTTAGTGAGTGTAGTTAAGCGATTTACTAACATATGCTATTTATTATCCTATATTTACTCTCTCGAGAGCGTCAAATTTATTGATTCCGCTTTGTGCGACATTCGTAAACGTTGAGGAGGCTGGGTTCTGTGAAGATTCGAATCTTTTTAGTTTCTAGAGCTTCAATAGTTTGATGGAATCAATTTGAATATATATGTATGTATTATATCACTCTCTAAAGAGTATAACATTTGGTTTACATTTTCTTTAAACGTGTAACTGGCTCTGGTTTGAGTCAAGCGGAATAGCATGCAAATTTAGTTCACTGATTATACCCCAATTTCAAATGAGCTTGTTCTTCTCAAATATCATCTAAGGGTCATAGAAACTACATGCATAGTGAACTTTAAACTTGACTCTCCTCTTTCCCTTCACTTTACGACTCTCAACTTTTATCGCACATGTTTACAGTTAACGTACGTGTTCGCCGCTCAACTGTAACTAAAGTAGACAATAGCCAAATCAGTAGCTCATCCGCAGGCGCTTCGCTAAAGCTGACAGAGGGGAAAATTGAGCGCTGTCCAGACACAAAAGCAAACTCAATCCAAAACGGATCACTGCGGGGCAGATGCCGAGCTTTCAGGAGCTGATGCGAGCGACACTTGAAATGCTGACAAATAAGTCGCATTAACGAAACAGTTGACCAAAATGAAGGCGAACAAAGCAAATGCAATTTGCCAGCGGCGCGCCAAAGCCAAAGTGGAGCCTCGAAAATGAAATGTGAAAATTCATTTGCAGCCGGCTTCTGCTGCTGCTGCTTTTGCTTCTCCTCCTGCTCTTGCTCCTGCTCGTTGTCGTGTGTGGCTCGCTTCGCATTGTGAGGAAAGACAATGCGATTGCCATGCAATTAAGCCATGCAATTTAATCAATTTATCAATTAGGCAACCGCGCAGGACGAGTCTTGACAAGGACTTTTGATCGAAATCAAACGCTGAATTCACATTTTTCTTTCATTTTACACATTTTTCCCCCCAGCCACGACTCACTTTAAAAGCCAATTTCATTAGCATTTCAAAGTGGTTGCTTGGTTTGGCTTCGAGAGTCGTTGGTCGGGTCACAGTCAATAATGTTGTTAATTGGCAGGCCTGGGCGTGGGCGAGGGCAAGAGCGAGAGCAGGGGGCGTGGCTGTTGGCCGTGTCGTAAATACGTGTACAACACAATATTGTGTGTGTGTGTGTGCGCCCGCTGGCAATTAACATTTGTAAATATGCATAATTGTTGGCAGAAATGTGCAGACCGTGAACAAAAAGAAGCAAAATCAAGTTTATAGAATGACGAATGATAGATACTCTCTAGAGGCAGTGCTGTAGTGTATCTTATAAAACTTGTACTGATTCACAGCGTACATCAGTGTTTTATACTTTGTAGCGCTTTGTATAAGAGAAGCTTCTAGACCCTTGTTTGAAGAGTCCGTCTGCTCATATATTTT